TCTGGCTAGCTACCGGAGCGTCTTGGAGGACCAAGCCTCCAGTTGCCTCAGGGAGGCAACTGCACCTCTGTGGGGGACAGTGCCCTGCCACACTTTTTTTCCCCACATTTTTTTTTTTTTGACCCGTCCAGGGGTCTAAACTTGCAGTGAGGGAAACATTAGAGGGCTGTGTTTTACAGAAGTCAGTTTTACTTACTGATCCAAAATCCACTGCAGCTAACAGAAAGGTTCTCATTGATTTCACTGGGCTTTGGAGTAGGCCCCAAGTGAATCAAGCTCCAAAGAGTTTAGCGCTACCTAAGCACTGGTAAGGATGCCACAGTGAGTCCACAGACTGCAGTTTATTTGTTACCTCTCAGCAACCAGGAATGCGGCAGGTGCTCAGGTTGGACCAGGTGGGACAGCACGTTGCACATGATACGAGCTTCTTTGTATATGATATACTTAATATAACTGTTTAAAAGGAATTAATTAGAGGATCATTGGCAGAGCAGGTGGGAGATGTGTTTGCAGAAGGGATCTGGAGGACGGAGAGGGCAGCTGCCTAGTGTGTGGGATTGGTGCTGCCCCAGGTATACAGATTACCTGGGGAAAGGTGCTGTGCTGCTTGTGGAACAGGGGAATATGAAGGGATATGACCTGGAAAATGGAAATTGATTCATCAAGGGAGCGCTGCGAGAACCGTGCCTGAAGTCTGCACGCTCTGATGAGATTGGCATATGGATTCAATGTCAATAAAGGGAAGGCCACATGTCTGGGGAGGACCAATAAAAAGGCAAAATATACTTTGGATGAAATTTTTCTAGAGGAAGCAGAAGAGGAAACAGACCTTCTGGCAGCAGTAGCTGCAAAACAGGCAAATAGGGCGCTGGAGTGCGAGGCAAGACTCAGTTACAAGCCGAAGGAGATAGCTCTTCCCCTGACCTGGCCACATGAAAAATGCTGTGTGCAGCATGGAGGGTTCAGCACTTTATGTTATAAATGACATTATGGAAAATATTGAGAAGGAAAGTGAAGGCTCTGTGGGGACTAGGGAAAGAGTATTTTAGGGAAGGCTCAAACAGCAAAGCCTGGCTTTAGACAAAGTAAAAGGTAATCTGGCCACAATGCAGGAGGAAATGTCTAACAGATTTGCACAAGCATCTAAGGAAAGACATGTTCTGACTTCAGGCAGAGTGGTAGTGCATGCACTCCTGAAGGCCAGCTCTGCAGAAGAGACTTGTGCACCAAAGGAAATGGTGGGATGGTTCTCAAAGAGTTTCAGGAAAGACAAGACTTTACAGAATTGTAGAAAAGTAGGGTTGAAAGGGTCCTCAGGAGGTCACCTAGTCTGCCCCCCTGCTCAGGGCAGGGTCATCCCTGTCTAAACCATCCTAGATAAATATCTGCTCTTGAAAATGGCCATGGGTGGAGATTTCACACCTTCTCTAGGTAGCCAGGTCCAGTGCTTGACCACCCTCATAGTCAGAAAGTTCATTTTAATATCCCGCCTAAACTTCCTTGGCCATAATTTGCAATCATTGCTTCTCATCCTCCTATCCTGCTTATAGTCACTTTTCAGGTATTTGATGAGTTATCAAATCCCCCTCTATATTCTCTTTTCCAGGCTATCTAACCCTAGTCTTTTAGCCTGTCCTTGTAAGTCAGGTTTTGCAGATCTCTAATCATGTTTTATACCCTCCATTGAATTCTTTCTATTTTTCCATGTCTTGATTGAAGTGCAGTGTCCCAAACTGTACTTGACACATCATTTGAAGTGTGGCCTTGCTAGTGCTGAATAAAGCAGAAGGATCAGTTCCCTTGACTTACAGGTCTTACTGCTATGAAACACCCCAGTATGCTACTGCCTTTTTTTTTTTTAGCAGAAGCACACTGTTGACACATATTCAGCCTACGGTCTACCATAACCCCAGGCCCTTTCGTGCAGATGCAACCTAACCAATTCTTCCCAGTCTATATTTGTGCATGTGATTACTCCATCCCAAGCACAGGGCTTTGTATTGCCATCCTGCATTTTCCCTCGCCCTTATTGACTGTCATCCCAAAATACAGGAGACCCTTGCCATTCACGGGGGATATAGTCTCACATAACTGCAAATGGCAAAATCCACGAATAAGGCACCGTGTTCATGAACGCCATCTGCATTCCTGAACGCAGTGCCCCCGGTGGTGGCAAGGGTGGGAGCGCCGCGCCGGCAGTGGCAGCCAAGTGGTGGTGGTGGGAGCCTGGCGGCAGCAAGCATGCAGCTCCCAAGGAGCTCCTTTAAGTGTATTACAATGCCGGTTCGGCATTCACAAATATCTGAAACCATGAATGCCGAACCCACGAATAGCGAGGGTTTCCTGTAATCATTTTTCTTCACCTCTAACAAGAAGCAGATTTTATTTGCAAAGGGATGAGGGTGCCTGTATGTTCATGAATCTACCTGCAAAATCATGTGCTGCCTGGCTGGCATTTTTCATTTTCCCTGCAGCCCTATACACAAGGTGAGAAAGTTTAGTGGTGGGACACGGGGGAGTGAGCAGGGACTGTATGTTTCCTACGTTGATGTTCACTCAGGTGCCTGCAAGCACACTGATATACTTTGGGTGAGTGTGAATTTATGCAGGCTAACAAATCTTCCTCCTGCCCTTGGCAGGTCTGTCATATGGCTCACATCTGGTGTTTTTAGGGATCAGAGTTTAACCAAGAACCATCTTTTGCTTTATTCTCGCATCAGCAATGAATGGGGTCATGGAAAGGAAGTGCCAAAAGCAATCTTTCACTCACTTGTTTTCTTAATATGAAAAATGGATTACAGTTGTAAAAAAAAAAGGGGGACAAAGAAAAATGACTTGTCTGGAAAAAAAAGACCAAAAAACCATCTTTATGGCGTGAACTTAGAGCGACTTGGAAAAATATGTCTATTGACTTTAAAATGTAATACTTTCCTTGGATGGTATGAATGACACCAAGTGTGGGGATTCTTCTAAGAAAAGCCTTGTATCTCAGAAAGCTATTTACATTATCTTAACCTTGCTTCACCTTTTTTCTCCCCAGTATTTATTTTCTCTGCAGAATGTCCTTCTCCCAGTTAGCTCCTCTGATAAAATTTCACAAAAGAATTTGCAAGAGAGGCAAGAGGGCAGATTTTATTGTTCACAGTTTTGCTTTAGCCTCTTTTTTTTCTTATTCCTTACTTTGAACTCTCTCTAACCTCCTGGATATCTCTTGTTCTTTCCTTGTTTCTTGTTTCTTTCTTTCTTTCCTTACTTGATTCCTGGATTCCACTGATCTTTTAAAACTTGTCTCCCATTTGGCTTCAGTACATAAAGCCTACCATATTTGCAGCAGCATATGTGCTACCAGATTTTTTCAGGCTAATTTTGAAGTCTTTCAGGTTTTCCTCACCTAGCTCCTGTTGCATTGGTAATGGAGATTGAACAGAAAGGATTATATACAGGAACATTTTAATTGATGCCTTTACAATCTGGCCTGTGCTGCTCTTTTGGTAACTACTTTAGGACAGCCACTAATCCTCATGGAAGAGGAAGGGTTCCTCATTTTTTAGGATTTTTTTTTAATGAAGATATATTAAAATAGAAGACTTGATAATATTGAAAAGACTTGGAAGGAAGAACTGTCACCTATCACTAATGGAGACAATTGAAAAGTGCTTGTGGTGGGGACACACAGTGGTGTTGAAATCTTTGAAAACAAAGGGACAAAGCACTGAAAGAAACCTCCTGCCCTCACAACAACCATAGCATACATCCCATTCACAAATGTGCTAGCTAAAGATACATCCCATCAGTATTCAATCCTCTTGAAATGAAGATGCCCATCTTGGGAGTAACGCCTGTGAAAGACTCAATGAAAAAAAAGAGATGACTGCAGAAGATACCATTTCTTCGGTTTAAGCAGGGAAATGACCAGTTCCACTTACCTCCTAAGAACTGCCCATTTCCCTTTGTTTAATAGCAATAGGCATCAAACTGCTTCACAGGAAACAGCTGGCATGTCCCTGAATGTTTTATCCATGCAATGAATGCGATGCACTAGCATGCGTTTCTTAGCAGGCAAAGTCGCAATATCCACACCAAAATGTGGAGTGCCATTACTTACTTCCTCAGGCTCAGTGACCCGCCTCCGGGGTCAGATTTTTCCTGAACCCCTCATGCACAGTTACCATGCTTGCAAGTGTACATAGGGTGCCTCTTTCAGCTTGCGGCTTCTCAGATGCTTTCCCACTTACTAAATAAAGGCAGATGCGCATATTAGGCATGAATGTTGGAAAGGCAGATTTTTTTGGTGCAAACTACCTTTTTTATTAAATTTATCTGAGCTTCAACATGGACTTTATAATCAAGGAGAGAACCAGTGTTCTTCTCAGGCTGGGCAGGCTTCTTTCTCAGACCTGAGGAAAGGTACTTTATGCCCAAAAGCTTGTCTAAAGCTCTCCCGACTATGCAGTTGGTCCAATTAAAGATCTCATTCACAAAAATCTTTGCTTCTCACATATTTCCTGGACTATAATAGCTACAGTGTCACTCCAGTACTACCTCAACATGTCCCTGGCACTGCTGCAGGCTCCAACATTGTTAAATTCCTGATGCAGAGAAACCATTCATGGTCATATTCAATGTTAAGCCCCACCGTTAGCATCTAACAGATAACAAATGATAGCTTGTTATTGCTTAATAACAGTGAGGACTAAAAGTTCAGGTCAGATGTATTTTAACCTGACTCATCTCAATTCATATTCCTCTATAGTATAGTACAGATGGCTCCTATAGGGGAAAAGAGAGTACTGGATTCCAAATGTGCATTCTTTCTCCTGAAAACGTGAGGAACACGTTCACTAGAGCACACCAGGCTTCATACAAATGGAATATAAACCAGTTAAGAAAATAAATACGTAGTCCAGTTGTGACTTACAGCCTTTCTTTCCATTACTAAGTATTTGACACAGCTGGTAAAGAATCCCATCACAAGAGTATACAAATACAAATGCTGATACCTTGGGAGACGCCCAGTAGAAACGAGTTAAGACACACAACCTTTCCCATCCGTTTCGCTGGGTAACTTGTGCAGTTGCATGTGTCAAAGTATGTTGGATGCCTTCTTGTGCCTCAAAGAATGGATGGAAGAGAGATGAACAGAGCAAGGTGAGGCAGGAAATCTGGCTCTTTTTAAAGGTGCTTTGATAATCTTCTGCAAAAAAAATTGAAAGCCTTCTGGTTTCTCACATTGTAACCCAGAGCCTGCACGGCATGAGGCCTACATTTATAGCTCAGTTACTAGGAGTGAAATTCTTTACACGGCTCGGGGGAAATGTGAAAGCAGAGCTGCCCCCGGCGTACTACTAGAAGCCATGCCAGCAGTTCAAATAAAATTTTTCCATGGTTTTATGATCTGATGGTTGGATTGCATTTGTTTTGCCGGAGAGGTGTGAGGTCTGAATGATTTGCAAAAGGAAAGAATTGTTTGAGCAGCATACATGTGTGTGTTTGGTTTTTAGCTTCGACCATAACATGGTGGAAATCTTGGTGAAAGGAGGATGAAATCACAGGAAGTCGCAAACGGGAGTGAAAGCACCAGAGCAAAAGAGACACAAAGGAACTGCACTGCAGCTGGGATGCTACTGCCCTTGACTCAGTGGTAACAGGTGGCATTTCTATAGCTCCCTCTGTCCAGGAGACTCCAGCAGTCCGTGTCTGATTCTGTCACTCTTACTCGGATCGGGCTAGATCCTCCACTGCATCAAATTTATCTTTGGTGCAGCTGAGGGGAGCAGGGAGGAGAAATGGCTCAGAACCACCTTTCCATTTCCCAAATTCTGGTCTGGCTATGACTACTCTACAGGCATGTCTACTGCAGGCTGCAAGGGTGTGTAAAGATAGCCAAAGAAGCTTTAAACATGCCAGCTCAGAAATGAGAAGCATTGATCTCCACGTTCTCGCAACTAACTTGCTGCTCACACCAGAGCTAGCTCAAGCATCTCTGCATTACATTGCAGTGTACAATGTAGACATACCTGTAAATCATGTCAAGCCAGCTGGGGAATGGCAAAAGCGCACTGAGCTCTCCCTTCCCCTATCACTCCTCATGTATCTTTCCCTATGCTCTGACAGCCTAGGACGCCCCTCGTAGGATGGGGAAAGCATGTGGCATAAAGTCCCCGGAGCAAGGAAGAGCCCCCCAACTGAAACACATTTTAAGCTAGCATAGCGAAGGATGCAAGCCACTGAATAGTGTCTTGTTCTGCAGTTGGTCCCATTGAAATCAGTTTGGGCTTCTTGAAGAGTAAGGGCCTACTCACTACGTTTGGAAAATCTGGCTCTTTGCTATGATGGGTAAAAGTAGATTCACTTCATAGCACTCGTGTGTGGCACAGCATCCTCCATTTTTGTACATGGTGAAACAGGTTTCACGTACGAAGTCAGTTGTAGCACTGAAAAGAGAACGGAGGAAGGGTCAATGTCCACAGCTCTCTTCCCTGTTAAGCAACATTCCTGTAGACATTCTGCATAAACTACTGAGGAATAAAGTTTTACAGGCCATTAAGCACCTTTATATAATACACAGCAACAGACTGGCTTGTTAACATGGCATATGGGTCAAGGTAAACACCGACTGCAGAGGATATGAACCTGTGCCTTGAAATGCTGAGTACCCTGCCAATATGTTAATCTAGATAATATTTCCTTAAAAACAATGCAATATGCAGTATGCTGTAAAACAGCAGTATTTCTTTATCTGAATATATAGTACAGATACTAGTCATGTTATTAAAACATCTGGATATCCTACCAGATAACTCCTTCACATGGCCAAACCTTGAGCTTTCTAATTTGGATGAAAAGTTATTGTGGGAAGTTTAATCAGCTTTGTGCATGCCACAGCCTTCTTGAGGTTATAATGAAGACAGTAGTGCTGCAAGGAAGGCATGAGAGTGGAAGACTGCCCACAGACATATATTGAAATAGCTGAGATGCCTACGTGGTCCTGGCACATTTCTCCATTCATTCGAGAGGATCACAAAGAAAATAAAAGTCCACGTGATTGGCCAAGGAGACTTACCAAAGTCATTAGAACTTGTTTTCCCTTGATTCTCTTGCTCCCTAGAGTAAAGTCCCCACTTACAAACAGGTTATGTGTATTAGCAACTGTTATTCATTATTATTTATATTTCAGAAGCACTGAGAGCCCTAAACCAAGACAAAGACCCCTTCCCTTGGTGGTGGTGCTATAAATACACATGGTGAAGGACTGCCCCTGCCTTGAAGAGCATGCAGCTTAAATAACTGAATTGAAAATGATCATCCCAGTTTGACACATGGACACAGAGCCCCTGCTTAAGAGATCTAGCAATTTGCCCCCGGTCACACATGGAGGGTATGGCAAAGCTGTAACTTGAACTTTGGATTCCCAGTGCAGTCACTTAACCACAAAAGATGAGTCAGAGACCCAGTCTACTACAGAGTTATGGGAGGAAACCAGCTTTATTTTAATATGCCATTTTATTAAATTGTTTTATGCCATTAATTCTTTCATATTTCAGGTTTCGGACCTCCCAACCAAGTCTCTATGGTTCTCTGGGGGCACTTTCATCATAAAACATAGTACTTTCTATGACCCTTAACAAATGTTAGCTCTCACCACACCCCCATGTGGTAGGTGAATAAACCCATTTTGCATAGGGATATGAAGGCAGAGAAGTTATGTGACATATCCAAGGCCACATGAAGTGATTAAAAGCCCATAGAAGTCAGTGGAAGGACTCTCATGTGCTTAGCAGGGTTTTGGATCACACTCCAAAGTGGACCATGTTCAAAGCAGAGATAGTTCCTGGCTCCCGATTCCATTTTGCACTCACACTCCTAGGCCGGGCCTGTCCTTCTGCTTTCATTTATATTTAGAGCGTTTCTCATTCACAATTCATCGAAGACTGAACTTCTCAGCTTCACTTCCTCTGTCAGGATACAGGACGTTTAATAAGGGGGTAGGGGGCCATATTAACTTTATAACTTATTCTTTTCTAGAAGCTCATGTTCACTTTTGGGATATTTATCAACCAGTAAACATAACACAAAATCTGGACGCACCCAGCGCTTTATATTGCTCTGCTGTTATAAGTGTGCTCTGTGCACAGAACTTGGTATTTGTTTCATTTATAGAGCTATGCTGGGGCCCGATCTGAATGCTGGATCCAGTCAAAGAGCTAGGAACTCAGTATCTGTAAGACTATCAACCCTGTTCTCTATATGCCTTTTAATTGCACTGTGTGCCAATAATGCATTTTTTTACCATAAGGAATTTCTCCCATTCGCAGAATCTTCCAGAAGCACCAAGGCCTCTTTTTTTTTTTTGTAAATGTGAAAAGCAACATAACATGTAATCACAAAGCACATGCAAGATACAAGGCTTCATGATGGATTAAGTGGGCTGCATGCTTGACAAATAAGTCTTCAATTAAAAAAACAAATGTTAAAAATATGTCCTTGGTGAACTCAAGATTTCCACCCTACCGCTAATCCTGCTCGCAGAGCTTGTGCTTCCAAGTTTACTGAATGTAGTTACAAGCACACGTCCTTTCTCTATTGAAACCTGTTTAAAGGGCATACTGTCTCCTACAGCCTGGCTTCCCCAGAGAGGATGAAAAAAGCTCAACATTTTACTTTAGAGGCAAGTCTATACCTAGATCAGTCTGTCTGTGGGGGACAACCGTTGCATATTATGTCATGACAGCAGCAAAGATGGGAAACCGAGTAGTTCATAGAATTTCTATCGTGTTAGAAAGTGTTTCCCTTCCATATCGTTGACTACAAATTATTGCCAGCGAAAAGAAGGGAAGGGCTATAGCAAATGAGGTTAGTGGATTTAGGTTGAACCCACTTAGCTGAGGAAGCAGATGCTTGTTCTGCAACACATTGGTTCTCGCCTCACAAACAGCCCATTGGATCAGGTTGGGTTTGGGACTCCTTTGGAAATAGAGGGCGTTTATAGTCGTGCTCCGGGAGGGGGAGGGGGGGGATTTTAATTATCGAGCTGCACTAATTAAAGCACTTAAGCATTACGTGTATCAGCATCCCCGCACTGAAAAATGGCAGCAGGGTGCTTTGAACTAAAGCTCATTGAACAACCGTTTTTCAGCGCAGGGACACTGATACACGTGAGGCTGCTGGAACACAGTAATTTCCACACTCCACCAGACCTGATTAATCAAGTCTGCTCTGACATGCTGGATTCACAGCACGTCGGAGCAGCCTTGCTGCACGTCTATAGGAACCAAGAGAGTCTAAGACTTTGAGTGAGTATGACTTTTGCAGCAGTAGACGATCCGTACGAGTCACTTTTGGCTGCCTTGGCTAAAATCAGTTCCCCTTAGCCCATCCGTTTTTTTGGTGTCTGGTTCTCTCAAGGAGAATGTCTCTTTTGGTGGAATGGCAGCACGCAGACATTTTCTTAGCAGAGCGTATTAGTCAGAAGCAGTCTCAGCTGGGGTACTTTCATATCATGAGAGCTAAAAAAATGACAGAACCACTTAATTTCTTTAAATGGGTGTGAGACTGTTGCCAAGTTTCATGAGCAATTAAATTTAATGCAAGATAAGATGGCAGGGAAGAAGCATAATTATGTGCTTTTGAAAGCGATGCTCTTTTAAAATGAAAAAGCCTTAGGGAGTATTTCAGCGAAGTTAGGGTTCGGTCTTTAGTTCCAACAAAGCCAATTGCCAATAGTTACATTTCAATGGGCAAGCGCAATATGAACAAACAGCTAAGCAACTGCTGGCAGCTGAATGGAAAGTTGCCACCTCACCTGACGAACTGCTAGGTTTTTCTTCTGCAGTTTTATTACGCTTTCTCTAATATCCCGACATTCCCACATGCCTATGTTTTAAGAGAAGAGGTGTCCTAGTGTATTATGTTTAACCTGTAAATCCAGTGAGTGATTACTGCATTTATGACAAGACATAGGGAGGGATCATTCTGCCCCATTGCTAGCAGAAAAAAAATCATTCTGGAAGGCTTAGAGATGAGAAAAAGCTGAAAAGCACAATGTCCATTGTATAAAAAAGAGACAAAATAATCTTTAAGACTTGGGCACATCCTTGACTCATTTTCTTTGAAAGTTATTTGTGGGTTCATATCAGTATTAGCTGGTCAGTAGCCAAATGATTGTTGATGCATTTATGTCATGAACTTTTGGCCACAAGTTCCTTTGGGATTATTTATTTAAGCAGTCAAGCCAGAAAACAGGGTAGTCTCAATTTTTTTGTTCATTACTCCCCTGTTTGAACAGTTTCGTTCAGCCAGGCAAAGATCAGAAATGATACAATGTGACGTAAGTGAAAATAACATCTGAAAGATCAAATAGTCAAACTCAACACATTTTTGAACAGCCCCCACTGCTACAATTTGTTTTGGAAATGATTGTGAGAAAGCTCATGGAAAACTAAAAGATCGTAAGAATGGAGGAGTCACAAACATAAAACAGAGTAAAATTCTTTGGATTATTTGTAACTGGCACTCTGTCTAGTTTGGGGAGCTATGGGGAGTTTTCATATAGCATGGTCTGTTCTTCAATGCTATCAGTATTTTGGGACAAATGGACCTCTGTAACTCAGAGAAATGGAGCGAGCATGCTTGCTATCAGCTTTCACATTTGTATAGGTTACCAAGAATAAGGGCAGACCAGGCAACAATCAGCTTGTTCCAATAGAAGCAGGATACATTACTAAACAACATGATGAAAAGTGATTTACATTTTTCCTATTTGTATTTTTAATTAAATAAATCTACCCTATGACATTCAAGCAATTTTCTCTGTCTGGAGAACATACTTTACCTGCAACTAAGTACAAACACATTTCTTCAGCACATTCCATAGCTGCAAGTATGATGATCGTTAAGATGTTTTTTTTTCCTTTTAAAGTGTAATTATATTTATTTTTAGTCACAGTGCTATGCATATTCTTAGGAGTCTGCTGGATCCTGAAGATGCCTGTACACGCTGTTGGATATATGGCACAGTCAACAGCTTTGAAATGAAGTTTTCAAAAGTTCCAATGTTTTTGCTTTTGGCTAGGAGCTGCAGAGGCCATTTTCCCAACAGAGCTCACAAATTTCAGGGTCCAACAAGCTCCAAAATTAATTCTGTATTTCAACTTTGTAAATAAAGAAGGGGGATTTTGCCTCTTTATGGAACCCCCTTCACTGGTTTATTAAAAAAAGGAGTAATCTTCAGAAGCAGGGTTTCATTGGATACCTACATTTTTTCCACTGGTGATTCCCTGGCATTGCCTGAAGACATAACAAGTATAGATTTAGCATAGTCACTGCTAACATGATATTGCTATACAACCATTACCTATGATTTCATCTGCTTATATAAGCAGGTTCAGGCTGAGTCAATGCTTACATAG